GAGGAAGCCGCGAAAGAAAAATTAACGAAAAACGAGAGAAAAGGAGCCGCCACCCGCGGGATAATGGAAGGAGAGGAGAGATAAGCAGGATCGCGGGGGGTGCGAGCCGAAATTGAAAAAAACTTGGACTTCTGCCCGATCTTATTAATGGCCCCTTTATTCACCGGCATAAACTCGAGGCGAACGCGAAAAAGCGAAATTTTAATGAAACCCCAAGGCGAAAGGGTGCTTTACTTCCGAATTATCAAATTTTTTTTTTTTTCCTCGACGCTACTTTATCCGCGAAATTATTCTGGAGAAACGCGGGGGTTAAAAACATCGACCACGGTCACTTCTCACCCTGACAAAAAAGGGGAGGAAATTCATCTCATTGTCCACGTTAAATATGGCGAACTTGATAAGCGAGTTGATTGAACTTAGATTTGGAGCAAAGTCATTTGTTACATTGTAGTCTCTTTATGAATTTACTCCGATTTTTCTCAGGGCATTCGGATGCCCATGGAGAGGTAATGGGAATTTCTCCCACAATGACTGCATTATTGCAGTGAGATCGCTCATTAAGGTCCTCGCGAAAGCACCGGGGGAGAATTTGGGTTACTTCGTCTTCGAGCTTGCGCTTTAATTCCGAGCGGGGCTGGCTTTCTCGCGGCCTCCGAGAAGGGAAGAAAGTCGCAAAAGTTCCCGGGACACGCGACATGTGTCCCGTTTCAGTGCTTACGACTCTTTCACCCCGAGGTTTCGAACGCGGCCCTGCGGTGTGTGCGGAAAAAAGGAGGGAAAAAAAGCTCCGCCCGCCGAGCTTTAGCACGTAACGCGTGCTGCAGCTGGCGTGCTCGCGGGCAGTAACCCTAAATTCGAGCGTTGCCTCGAGGAACGAATTACGCGGGCATTAGGGTCTATTACGCGGAAAATATTGAATTTTCCTATCGACGCCGAATTACCGAGTGCGTTCCCGCGTACGTCCGGGGTGGAGGGCGACGCGGAAGTCCATTAAAAAGCCGTAAAGCGCCGAGTGCCTCCACGTAGACGGCCCGCCGAAACCTTCCCGAGGAAGTAGGACGCGAAGAAGTTCGACGAACTCAATTTTAAAAAATGCATGTAATTTAAGCTCCCCTCTTTGAGGCTGCGGAGACTTCGGGCCCGAGGTTCGGTCGTTCAAATTTGCTTTAAAAAGGTTGCGCAACTCGTGGACGAGTTTAATGCCTTTGGAGCGTAGCCGCGGACGAAGACAATCCTCCAATCCGGAATTTGCTTTCAAAGCCGAACGCGCGGCTCGAATTCGAAAAACCGACCGGCGGGCTTTCGCTTTGAAAGCCTGCTTTAATTTACCTCGGAATGGAAGTACGAGCTCGAAAGCTCGCGGGTCATTTTGAATTTCCGAAGACGTCACCCCTGCGGGGCTGTTCACTCGAAACTCGTGGAAGACGATTTCCTTTCTTGTGAATCGATTCCTCTTAATTTCACGCGACGAACGACAATGCGTTTCGGCAAAAAGTGACATGAAATTGTGTTCCGCGCGATTTCGAGAGTTAAAATCCATGATTCCCTGAGTGGACAACCCCTCGCATCATCTCGTTCCCCGGATAGCACCCCACGGAAGAATCTTTAATCTGGAATATCTCTTACATCGGAATTGCCCGGAATAACCGTCCTCGAGAACCCTTTAAAGCACATCGAGCCCCGATTCGATACCGGCCCTCCGCATCTCGCTCAGCCTCCACCCGGAGGAGTCCTTCCGAAGTTCCGTCCATAACCAGGTTCTCATTATTCTCCGAAAATACTTCGTGGGAAATCCCCGCAAGGACAGTTAACTCTACCCTCGCGTGATGAAAATTTGAAAAATTGATTTCCCGATTCCTCGAGACCCCTCCCCTCGGCGGCGTCCCGGTTGCATCGGGGTGGTTCCTTTTTTCCGTCGAGGGGTTTTCGATTGAATTTGCTGCCGGCAATTTTCCGGGGCGACGGACGGACTTTAATTTAATATCCTCGTCGCGTATTGCGCACTTGCCCGTATTTCGGAATTCCGAGGGATCGGCGGAAGGGCAAGGAGCGCCAATGGGAGAAAAGGGGGCTCGGGTGGAGGAGCCGAACGTCGAGGAGGAGGAATAGTGGCGCGGCTCCGCGTGCAGTCAGACCGCAGTAGTACGTCATGATAGCGTCAGCCAGGACTACGTGCACGGGCCCGATATGTCTGACTGTATGTCGTTATTTCTACCGAAAGCCGCTGAGCTATAGCCGCCGCCCCGCCGGCCAGGAAATATTCATCGAAGCCAAAGTCGCGCCTCCACCCTCCCTTAATAAACCCCGCATTTATGCCCGGACCTAAATATCCGCTTCGCGAGAAATTTCGGAAAAAGCGAGCTAGTCGGCTCGGACCCCTTGGCGGAAACCAGAGGGGAGCAGGGATGGTCGTCGAGGGTTTTCGAAGGGCCCGGCCTGGACTCGCGATTGATCCATAATTTCAGGTGGGCAATAAAAATGGAGACTGCGCCGCCCGCCGAGGGGGAGGGGGCTGAAAAGCGGCACTCAGGGGTAAGTGCGCTTTCGGCGCATAGCGCGAGATGAGGGTAGACATTTATTCGGCTGTTATTCACCCTTTCGCCCGGGGCGTGTATCATTTTTACGATGTAGATTGAGAAGGGTGGGAATCGCGTGAAATATTGGGAAGCGAACTACAGAGGGAGATAAAACGTTTCATAAAACAGACATCGATTCCATATTACCCTTTCTTCTCCCCCCGGGAGGCGCACCCTTCCCGCGGAACCCCCAGGGTTATACGGCCGAGGATCCTGGATCCTTGGGAATGCCGATCGAGCGAGATGTATTTCCTTATTGCCAGCCGCCATTGTGCCCCGACACTATGAGGAAGTATTACGCAGGGAAATGCGCGGGAAAGGAGCCGCATGAAAAGCTCAAAGTATTTCCATTATTTCCCGCGTACGTGTACCTACCCCCCTCCTCCCTGCCGAATATTTTCGGTCCCCTCGTTCCGGCGGTGCATCGGAAAGCCGAGTTTTACGAGCGCGATAACAATGGACATTACCAATAATTATTATAGACCAATAAAAGCTCCGATGCCGCCCGACGGCGCCGCCCGGTAAAAATCATAAATAAAACCGGGTTATCAATTACCAGATAGTTGTAATCAGTCCGGAAGCCATTAGGCTATTATTTGTACACGCATAATGGAGCCGTACCCTTGGGAATTGCATTCAGTGGGCCTGCATTTACTTTTTAATACGAGAAATAGCCGGCCCACTGAATAAACTCGTATGTACTCCACCTGATTGGCGTTCGATTCATGGAAGCGGTTCGCTCGCTCTTTCTACATTGGTTTACGTCAAACTCGGAATTTCGCGGAACGGAAGGCTCCAAGTTACCGGGACCGGAAGAGAGGCGGGTAATTGCACGTGAGAAGGTTTCCTCGAGTTGTCGAGACACTCGGTACGGTATTTCAGTTTTCCGATGTTCTTTTTTCACCCCCCCAGCCCCCGAGACGTCGCACCTCGTCCCATCCATCTTTCTCTGCGTTTTCCTCTTCTTGCGTCTTCGCTCCGGTTTCCCTTCCTTTTTTTCCTTCCCCGCCATTCCGCTGGATTCATCCAACAATAAGTTAGCTTTAGTCCCTTCCTTTCTCTCTCTTTCTCCCCGCCGAGAAATATGTCGCTCTCTTTCTCCAACCCCTTCCCTCTCTTTAGGCATTTTCAGCGACTCGTTTAATTCTCTCTTATGGATCGCTTTAAATTTAATTTCATCTCGCGGGATTGGGAACATTCGGAAACGTAAGCGATCACCTGTACTCGTCTACTCCGTCTCTCTCGCTTTCTCGCCCTATCATTTATCTGGAACAACCTCCATCTTTATACTCTTTAATAGTTCCTCCCGTGGGGGCGATTCTCCCAATTATGAATATTTAACGTTTCAACTCGGTAGCTCTTTCCTGGAGGGAATTTATGTCAACCGGCTCCCTTTTTCCAACTTTTAACTTCCCTCTGTCTCGCTCTTCCTCTCTCGCCTTCTCCTTCTTCCTTCCATTCCTCTCTTCTTTCCTCTCGAGTCGAATCACTTTCCGAGTAATTGCAGGCCCGTGCATAGCGAATCGTTTCCGCGTTACTTTCGCATATCGATTCTATCGACATCACGAATGTCATACGTCATACCCCGAATTACATACCCGTTACGTAAGTAATTACATCGGCTGGTTTACAGAACGCAAATGTCGCTTCCGGGAAATAGATTACAGTCAAATCGAACGGAACACGTTAATAAACGATTCAATTGCACAATTGAAATTGACACCGTCGACTGCTCTAAATGTTGCCGTTCTTGATATACGTTATCGACCGAAGTTACCGTCAATATTTTCACAAAAGTGTGGAATATTAAAAGAGTATCGTTGGTAGGAAAAAAAGTGGTTCTTGTTAAACAATGTGGTCGGGGTTAACAATGCAGGCGCCGATGCCATCTTCCCTGGAAAGTGCGTGGCCTGAAAGTCCTGAAATAATCATTCAGGAGTACACCCGATAATATTAGCGGGCGCCAATTACCGCCTCGGTGAACTAATTCAATAGGCCCTCGAGTCCTCATTAAAGCGAGCTGTGCATTTGAAGCGAGAGGGCATCAACCAAATATTGCCCACGCGAAGCCGTATAAATCAATTAATAATCGCAATCACGTAGCATAATAATTATATTTACCGTGTACCTATGTCGTTAATGACATTTCGGCTTCCGGGTCGCCTCCCCCTTTCGGCGAACGGATATGAAACTCGAACAACCCTTTGATCCGACGTTAAATTTCAACCGTAAATTTCAGCCGATTCTCCGGTTACAAATCGGCCCCGCAGTTTCATTACCGGTGGAATGTTTTCATTGACGTTCCGCAGGACCAATGAGCCGGAAAACGAACAATCGAGACCGCCCCGGCGAATTTCCCCGAAATTCATTTTTTAATGCCCACTGAGGGGTAAATTTGATCGACCGTTTCATATTTCGTTTCAGAATCGACGTTAGGGGCAGACCACTCTCCGAAGCGGTTCACTCGTCCGATTCCTCGGTTTTCGGAAGGAGAGCTTACTTCAGGACGACCGTCCACTTGCCTGCGGTCTTGGTCCTGGAGGACATCAGGAGGCACGATGCCGCCATTTACAGGTGCAGGGTGGATTTCAAGCAAGGGCAGACCCGTAGCTTCAAATACAACCTAACAGTGATCGGTAAGTAAATGATGATAAATTGCGAAGCATTACTAGAGAATAATACCACATGACCCTGACACTTGAAGAACAAATGCGACAACTACCACCAATCAAAGTTCTATCGCTTGGGGAACCCTTACCGTAGGTCGGGATTCACGGATCACCGGACAACGGAGAAACGAAGCTTTGGAATTTTCCCCCAAAACTCGCTTTACATTCTTTGAAAGTAGAGATCTAGAATTTCGAGGGATGCGGAAGACGAAACGAGCGTCTCCCGAGAAAGGGGTGCAATTTGTTCGACAAGGGTGGAGTTCCGTCGAGGGAAGATGCACCCCGGGTGCATCGTGAGGTCCGAACAGTCGCAATCGAGGTCGGACCTCGAAGAAAAGGAAGCGAATTGTTGAATATCCTTGCACTTCCGCGGGGCATACGTGGTATCGAGGATTCGATGCATTCGGACGGCTCGCGAGATGCAGGGTGCAAGAGCGGACCGGAAGTCGAAACGGCGGTCTCGCGTCATGGGAAGAGCAGTATGATCAAACAAATGGGGACCGTTGAAAAATGCATGAGCCAATCGCAGACGTGCCGCCATGGTTGGTGGGCCCCCCTCCCATAAGAGTGCCCTTTCGCGAGGGTGGCCCAGAAGCCCACTGCTCGCGTCTAGGGGAGTGCACTACCCCATATATCGCGAGGCTCGCAGCAGAATTACCTTTAATTTTCAAAGCCCAAGGAAGAGGCTTTTTGCCTCTAACCGGCGTAATCCGCTCTCTTTGACTCGAGCGCGGAGGAAAGGGACCCATCGCGGGATTTACATCTAATGCAAATGGAATCCGCGAGGGACGATTTTTGCCGTGGTTTCGCCCATTTCCAGGATTTAACGCGCGAGTCGGGTGGTTTTTCCCGATTTTTCTTGGAAATTCAAAATGTAGGAATCCGATTTACGGGAACGAGGATCTTCGATGAAATCTTCCGGGGGGTGGACGAGGGCGAAGGAAACGCGCCAGGTTCGTCGCGTTAGGTGATAGGGATAATCAGGGGTGTATTTCTGGCAGCGATTGACAATGCGTTTCCCGGAAGAGGAATCTCCGAATCAGGATTCGTTGCGGGACAAGCCTTTGCGAAGTCGCGCGTACGTGTCTGGGCCTGGGATATCGAAATCCTTCCCCGGGATCAGGGAATGAGATTCGCTCTTGGAATTCCGACGGAAATCCTCCCTTCGATCCTCGATACCGAAATCCATCTTCCGCCACCTGGGCCAGCTCTCGTTCTCGGCGGCTTTTCGCTTCGCGTCTCGTTATCGGTGCCCTGGAGTCAAAGTCGCGCCTCCACCGCGCCTTAGATATCGAACTTCTAAGTTAAAGGAAATTATTTCTTAATTATTTTTAATCGTGGGGAGCAGCTGGGTACAGGTACGGTCGAGTAAAAATGAATTTGAAACCACGTGGTCCTGGACGTGTCCCCGGTCATAGAGTATGCCGATCCAATCTTATCGTCAAAGACACGTCAGATTTGGGCACGAGCGAGACGTCGAGAGGAAATTGGTGGTGGAGGGGGATAAACGCATTTGCGGCCTCGCCAAAAGGAGCCAGAGATTGGCTGTAGCGGGCCTCCGAATGAGGACGGTATTTTCATCAGGGGAGATTGGTTTCCTAGAGTTTCTAGATTACATCCCTCTCCGGCTGCTTTTCCGACACAGTTTCCTTGCCGCGACTTCTCGTTTGCCCTTAACGTCTTAGCTGACTTCGCGCAACCCTTACCCAGAGATTGCGTGCACTCTCGGCAGGAGGTCTTACCTTCCCCTAAAATTCGAAAAATCCCCGAAGATTCCACCACCGACCTCGCCCAATGACTCACCTTAACCCGAGATTAACTCCTCCTAATTTCCCAGTAATGAGAATTTTCTATCCATTTATCTCGACCTTCGTCGAAATTCGAAATCCCATTTTTATTTCGCAGCCTGAACGACTTCCGGATTTATTCCCCCCTCGGCAACCTCACGTACGGCATTTTCTAAGGAATCGCACGATTCCTCCGAATCGCAGAGGTAAGAATATTTTTACAGACCAGAGATAGGTATGTCTCGTATGGAAGACTTTCGGGTACGTGGAAAACGATGGAATCGCGAACCCTCCAGGGAAACGGGACGTCTTTCCTTGTAACCTCATCATACCTTCCGCATAGCAAAGAACGTACCTAGAGGTTACATCGCGCGATCTCGAGAGGAGTAACCTGCGTATTCGGCGATGCACCGAAAGTTTGGAACTTCGAAAACTAGAGAGAGACGCGTTTGACCCGAGTTCGAGGTCCCAATCTACCCTTTACCTCCGGCAATTTCATGATTTTCCTTTCAAGGCAATCTCACGCATCCCCATTCCCTAGAAGTCGTAGGATTTCGGGAAATCGCGGGCACGGTGATATTGTCATGGAGCATGAACGCATAGGTAGGAGTACGTGCACACCAGACGCATCCTGGGGTGGATGTACGTGGTCCAGATCCTCGGTACACAGAAAACCGCGGGATTGGATCTGGGGGAAAAGCGTTCCCTCGCTCGCGTCTTGTTTTCGGGATAAGCGACGCCGGCGTCGGTCTTAAATGAAAACGGGGACGTCGTGGGAAGTTAAAAGAAAGGCAACCTCCGGGTGGTGGAGTCACGCGTGCACTCTCCTTCGGGGAGATCGATGGAGATGCACCAGGTCGAGGAAGGCCCCCTTCCTGGGGGGCTCGTCTAATTTTCATACGTGCGACGGGAAAACCTGAAGAATATCGGCCCTCGCGATCTGACATGACCTGCCCCAAAAAGCTTCCGTCCACGAAGGGACTTAAGGAAAAATCCAAGAAAAATAACCTACGAATTTTCTTCCCGGCAGTCCAAGAAGAAAAGATATCCCGTCTGGCATTTCCAACTCGCCTATGTACCGTTTCATTCGACACACGCAATAATTCTTTTTTTCATAATCCCAAAACACCGAGGGAATTAATATCGACATGATATAAATTTACCTCGCGCGCAACGGCCGCGCGGATAAGAGCTTCCTCTCGCAGCTGCAGCTGCGAGTTTCCTCCCCTCTATTTCTCTCCCACTCGCAATAAGCCCCAAAGGGGGAAGAGCACGCCGGGGGAGGGAAAGGGGTGAAAGGAAAGAAAAGAAAAATCGGAAAAGATGGAAGCGAACCCAAGCCAAGCCAAGTGGAGGAAGGAAGAATGGAGGTCTGCCCTCGTTAAGGAAATAATCCGCGGCTTAATTAAATACAGCGCAATTAGTTCCGCGTCTATGTGTTCGTCCATAAATGTGCGCACATTGTCTTCCCGGTGGCCCCACAGTACCGCCTTAATTTTTCTCTCTTCCACGGCCCGAAAGGGCCCCCTCCGTCGCCCACGCACGTGAGGGAATTCCCGATCGCACCCGCGGGGCCGCGGCGGAAGGAACGCGCGGCCGAGAAAGGAAATAAGAATTTGAAGAAAACCGCGGCCAAGTTTTCGCGTTACCCCCGATGAGAAACTTCGGAAGCGGGGAGGGTGGAGGCGCGCATTCGCTCTCGTGCGAGGTCGCGGACAATTACCTCGTTCGGCTTCTCTGGGAGCGGAGGACGCTACTCTGGGAAGGAAAATGACTCTTTTTCCTGGCTAAGAGGGCGTGAATTAAACACACCGGAAAAAGGAATCGCACACGGCCACGCTTGCCCGTAGCGAAATAACGAAGCCATTTGTACCACTTGGCGGCGCCGGGAAAGGAGACCGGTCGCGATCTCGGGCGGAGATATTTCCCTCGGAAGTCGCGCACGGGTTGGCTCTTCCGGACAGGCGCGAAAGCCGCGGCGAGGGTTAAAAAACGTAGGACGCGGTTCGGGGCCGGGAGGCTCGAGGTCGCCGTCTTCGCCCCTTGGCTCTCGAGGTCACAATGGGCAGGTCGTCGACCCGGGTCCACGCGGAAGTCGGGAGGGGCCGGTGAGAGTAAAAAGGCGTGTTCTCATTGGCCAACAAACCGTAGCCTCGTTTCCCCTTTCGCATCGCGGTCGACTCGTCACGCGGCCGGCGACTGGGAGCGGGGAAGGAATTGACCGGGCCCGTCCCGGCGCGGCCTTCGGCGCGGCGGACAGGACTTATCCAGCCTGGGACCGCCGGGGAGCTAATGTAAGTAGCAAACTGACCGTGAGGAAAAAGGCGGGAGGAAGGGCCGCGGGGGCGGGTCGGCCGGTTCGGAAAAACGCTCCGGAGAATCCTATGAATTTATGGGCACATAAATTCGAGATCTCGGGAGGCCCGGGATAGGATTTTCCGAGGGGCCCGTTTCAAGCCTCGCCGCCGACCCTGGGGAGGAAACCGCGAGGGAAACCGCGAGAATTCCGCGGCCGCGATCGCCGCCCCCGGTATACCTTCTCATAAATTGTTTCGCGACGACGGGCTAAATGTGACGCGCCGGCGCCGAGAAGCTACGAGGTCGAGGACGTCCCTGACTCGGGTGGAGGGCCCCTCCAGCGACGCTCCTGAAAGAGAGCCCCCTCCGAGAAAAATGGAGAGCGGATTTCATAAATGGCCCTGAAAAATCCCCGGCCTTTATCCCCGAATAACTCCTGCCTCTCGAGGGGACCCTGCCTCCGCGCTTATGAGTAGTCCACGGAGCTTTATACGCCTGCACATTGTGTTTACCGTAATTGTCGCTGGCCCACTTGCCGGCCATTCTACGCGCATTCATTCGATTGTCCCCGGGACGCGTCCCTATCCATCGTATGGCGGATAATTCCCTCCTTTTACCCCCAAATCTAGGGTTGACTCGAGTAAACGAAAAGGCCCCCGACCTGGAAATTCGGCAACGAATTCAGGTCGAAACGACCGACACCGCGCGATGTAATCCCCTTTGCGATTTTCCAGCGGAAAATTTCTCTCGCGATTCTCGTTTGCGAGGGACTCCCGAAAACCCTTCAAAATGCTGAGCATTCTCGAAGGGCCTAGAGGGTTATCGCGTGATAACGCGTGTCCGTCCTGCGGCAACAGGGTGCCGTAAAGTTTGGTATCCCTG